TCTGTAAGGGACAGACTCTCATGCTAGAGGTTGATGGTTCAAGACCTGTTTCTCCCTTTTGAAAGTTGCGATTAAACTTAATTATTTTGGCTGATGAGACTAATTTGCATTGTTTTGCCCAAGTAAAAATATAGATTGGGAAAACTAGGTCGGTTTAGTAAAAAGATTGGTTGAACACAACTTCCAACCTGATTAAACCCAAAAAACGTGGAAAAACTATCATGTTTGAATAAAACTGACTAACACCTTTCATTTTGCTCATCATTGCCCAATTTACACAAACACTTTCACTTTCTGCTTGAGTTTATTTCACTAAAATGGCAGAAAAAACTGTGCGCCTTAAATGATTGTTCTAAGAAATTTTACACAAAAAAAAAAAAAAACGTATAAAAATTTTATTATACACACCAACCATTAACAATTTCAAGGGAACTTAAAAGGGGAAAAAAAGAAAAACAATTGCAAAAAAAAAATCACAGATTTTATTACAAACTGTGGTTCTGCCCTCCACCAGTAAGTGGTGACATGTTCACATGAAGCCTCATGAACCGTGGGGATCGTTGAAGCAATTTGGCCAAACGGTTCAATGCCTCATGAGGCTTCATCTCACCATCACTACTAACAATGTAAAGGAAACACAAGAATGCTGTTCAGAGCAAACAAAGGACAACATGTTTACAGCAGACATATTTTTCCAAGGGCTTGAACTTTAAATATTTAAAAAAGGTCTTCAAGAACCAATAGGAACCGTCCTCTCAACTCACAGGATAACATTTGAGTTTTTTTTCCAAAGCTAAATATCAGCTGTTTCAGGCTCCAAATATTAATTCTAGAGTCTCTTTACTTACATTTCTTCAGGTCTGTGTCAGAAATGTTGACGTTGATGTAGGCAAAGGTTTTATAAGGAACGCCTGCAGAAAAAGAAATAATGACGTGATGAAAGGAGAGAATAGAAGGTTCTCTGGAAACAATGATGTATTTAAAGATGATTTTATTCTTAAATAATTATTACAATGTGATTCAGTTACTGATGAAGTTACAGAAATAAAGAAACTTTTCAGTACTGCTCAGGTTTCCCATAGTTTGGTTAACACCAAACTCATTAACTTTAAAGGAGTATGTGCAGCAGAATTTACCTGCTTCAAGTATCATCTGTAGCTACTTTTACATGGAGGCATGTAATCTGAATAATTGGACTAAAACCACGAGATGTAAACATTAGCAGTCAGACTATCCTGAGTGGATTCAGCAGGATCAGAATGGAAATGTAATTCTGACTGAGATGGAGAGTTTATGACGACTGAGAATCCAATCAGCAAGAAAACTAAAACGCTTGGTAGGATCAAATTATCCTGAAGGAGCTGAGATCAGAATATTCCAATCAGCATCTTTGTGTGATGTATTCTTTTCGGAGTGTCTGTTTCATGCATCCATTTTATCCATATAAAACGTACAATCTGATTTTTTTCCTTATATTTCAATTGGAAATGTTGTGCATTGGAGAAGCCAATAATTGATTTAAGTACCATGCAAATTCCTTGCTAAAAAATATGGGATGACATAGAGGATTTTGGATTGTAATTAATAGAAAAGAAAAGGGAATGTGCAGCCTTAATCCTTATTAATAATACTGATAGTTACATTCATATTCACAATGTTTAGTGATGCATGGTGAGATCAGGGGTTGCTGGGACTTTTAACCTCTGAAGCAAATGTGTTTCGAGCTTCATATTGGTCTCCAACCACTAACTAAAAATGAGGTTTTTTTAAATCCATGGACGAACACAATTGACAATTCACCAATTCACCTGTAAGCTGATCAGGAAGGCCAGCTCTGTGATTGGATGCTCTCTGGACTCAGTGCAGGAGGTGGGAAATAAAAGGATCCTAAGTAAATTAACATCTCTCTGGGATAGTGTCTCCCAGCCCATGCATGAAGCTGGTGCTGAACTGGAGAGCTCCTTCAGCGACAGCTTCATGCATGGGCCGGGAGACCATGCATGAAGCTGGTGCTGAACTCGAGAGCTCCTTCAGTGACAGACTGAAGGAGCTGCACCCTAAATGCACCAGGGAGCGTTATCACTGATCCTTCCTCCCAGCAGCTGGAAGACTCTAGAACCAACACTGTTCCCATCAACCTCAATAAGTTGTTACATTCATGCTGATTTTGGAAAGTTTCTATCTTAGTTAAATAACATGCTGCTGTCATTTTGCACATCTCTGATGTTGCTGCTATTTTCAAATATCCATCACTGTCCAAATGTCCATAGCTGGATATTAGTAATTTATTCTCCAGGTGCACAGTTTTATATTTTTAAAACACTTTACAGTATTTTATTGTTTATTTTTTAACTCCTCACTATTATGTTATTAAACATTTTTCTGAGGTCCACATTTGTGTGACCATTTTTTCTATAATCTTTTTGCTGCTGAAAATGTCCCCCATTGTGGGACAATACAGGGATTTTCTATTCTGTTATATTCTAATTGATTATATTCTATAACTTTCCGTGGACTGCATGTCCTATTACAAACACGTTAGCGACGTGAAGGCAACGCTAGAATCTGACTGATAAAAAAATGAAAGACAGGTTGACAGCTGTTACCCAAATTTAAATTTCAAAAACTTTTTTTCCAATTGGAAACCTGTGTATTCTATCTATTGTTTTCTGCTGTTTTGAATGATGACCTCCAGCAGATGGTTTTATTATGAAAGGATTTTAACTTCTTCTATAAGAAAAAAACAAATTTTTCCCTCACCCTCCTCATCCCTCCTGGTTCGTAGCTCCACGTCCAGCACCTCCCCGAACTTTCCAAAGCGATCCTTCAGATCCTTCTGGGTGACTGTGTGGTTCAACCCGCCGACGTAAAGCCGCCGCATTGCTTCAAATCCACTTAAACAAAGTCCCTGCAAAAACAGCAGCAGCCATCAGCATCCAAACATCTGCTTATGTGTGAAAAAAGAGGATTAGAAGAAAAGAACAAAGGTTGAAGGAGGTGTTTTTTTCATTACAGATAATAATTTCTGCTTTTAAAATGACACTTTAGGTTTTAACATTTCCACTCATCACTTCTTCAAAAAAAAAAAAACATGGCGAATAGTTTCTAAACTTTCTGTAAACAAATTTTACCGAGCTGGATTTGTCATCTTACATGATATTATATGAGGTTATATCTGGTGTTTATGAGGTTT